GGGGGGGTGGGATGATGGTGATGATGGTGATGATGACGATGGTGATGATGATGATGGTGATGATGATGATGGTGATGATGATGCCGAGCTGCAGCACAGGTCCGGCCAAAATCCGCCGCCTTTCCCTGCTGCCATCCCCTGCTTGTTTATGGATTGGCTCCTCTCCTCCAAACCCATCAATATCGGGGGGAAACCAACCAGAAACCACGCAAAATCCTAGGGAAAAAAAGAAAATAGGGAATCATCTTTTCAATTAAAGTGTGTTTCCAAACCTTCCCGGGGTGCTGCAGGGATTAAGAGCAACCCCAGCCCCCTCCCAACCCCATTAACCCAAAGGCCGAGTTTGAGAGTTTTAATGTTTTAATCCTTTTGTGGACTCGGATCCCGGGTTTGGGATCACGCTGGAAGCCAGCAGTGCTGGGATTTGGTGGCTGCCCAGGGGAGGGGTGGCAGTGTTTCATCTCCTCTGCTGCTTCCCCACACCCCTTTTTTTGGAGCTGTTAAAGAAACTAAAAATAAATCAAAGAGAGCAACGAGGCAGCACTTGGGAAAAACTGAAAAATGGGTTTGTTTTGGAGAATTCCAGCAGAAAAATTCTGACCTGGGCCACCAAATCTGTGACAGGGAGGGAGCTGGGATGGGGCAGCTGCTGAGGAAGAGGAGGATATTCCTCAAATCCCTGCTTCCCCCAGAAATGAGCTGGCAGTGCTGGGCTGGGAAGTGCAGGTGGCCCTGGGCTCTCCTGGGGTTTGGATGTGGCTGAATCAGGTGAATTCCTGGAATTTAGGGTGGATCTTCCATGGCCTGGGTGCCCCAGCGTCTGCCATCTTTTCCATGGATGCATCCTGGAATCAGGCTGGATGCTGCCACTCTCCCTTCCCTTCCCTTCCCTTCCCTTCCCTTCCCTTCCCTTCCCTTCCCTTCCCTTCCCTTCCCTTCCCCATCCCATTTTTCTCCTAATTATGCTTCTTTCCTTATTTATTCCAATTAATTTCCCTATATCAAACATTTTATTTAGGGCTCCATCATTCCTGCTGCAGCCTGACCAGGAAAACCTTGGCTCAGGGATGTTTTGTGAGCTCCTGAGCCCACCTGGGGATAAAAATCCGGCATGAAAATCCAGGCTTCATCCCAGAAATGCAGGTTTTGTTCTGCCTTCAGTTTGCTTTGTAAATCTGTATTTTCAGCAGGGCCTGACAGAGCCACGGAGCAGCTCTGGGCTCCTCAGCCTCTTCCTGCTTTAATCACATTTTGTACCGTCGCCGTACAAGTGGGTGGTGCATCTAAATCATGGAATTTTGAATTTCTGATTAAAAGCAGAGGATTCAGGGGCACCCAGTGCCCGTGGCAGGAGCCTCCCAGTTGCCCTGGGAACGGGATTTGGCTCTGTGTTCTGGCACCAGGCAGGGGCTGAGCTATCTGCTGGCACCAGGCTCGCCCTGGAGATGGTTCCAGGCTCCACACGTGTGAGGAAAATTAAAAAGGAAAAGAGATCCGAGGAGAAAAGAGATTTTTATGAGCTTAGAAATCATCTCTGAGGTGGTGGAGCCTGGTGGGTTTTTCAGGGATGTGTCCGGGTGTTGGGATTGGCTTTATTTGGCTGTTTTTGGGAGGGGTCTGCTGGCAAACCCTGTTCCAGGGAGGTGCTGGTGCCACTTTGGATCAGGCTGGAAGTGCCAGGGATGAACCAGGCAGGGCTGGATGCCCCCCACCCCTCCCAGGATCCCAGAGAACCCCGGAACGGATCCACAAAATTCACAAAAGAATTGGAGACTTCATCAGGTTTCTTTGGTTTCATCTCAGGAGGGGTTTGGAGGCTCCAAAAATCACCTTTTTTCTTTGAAGTGAGTGCAAATTCTGGTGGCAAAATATAACTCCAAGGGACAGGCCTTGGGGAAAACCTCAAATTCCATAAAAATCCAGCGTGGAGAAGCTGGAGAGCTGCTGGCCTGGCCCCTTCCCATGGAGAGTGCTGCAGGCTGGCACAGCTGAGGGGGCTCTGTGCCACTGCCCCACGTCCCACAGAGCCTTTGTCAGGGAGCTCTGGGGCCTTGTTCAGACAGAGATCCCAAAAAAAGGCTCTGCCAAGCGCTGGAAAAGCTCGTGGAATGTGCTGAAGCTCAGGGAAGCATCAGCACAGGGAGAGCTCGGGGGCAGCTCATCCCTGAATTTTATACTTGCAGGAGTGCTGGGAAGGGGCTGGTGGGAGAGGTTTATTCCAACACTCAGAATAAAATCGAGGTTTTGTGGCACGGAATCGTGGAATAATTTGGAATGGAAAGGGCCTTAAAACCCCTCCTGATGGGCAGGGACACCTCCCACTACCCCAGGTTCCTCCAAGCCCCATCCAAGCTGGCCTTGGACACTTCCAGGGATTGAGGAGCAGCCACAGCTGCTCTGGGAAATCCATTCCAGGGCCTGCCCACCCTCCCAGGGAGGAATTCCTTCCCGATATCCCATCCATCCCTGCCCTCTTCCAGGTTAAAACCAATTCCCCTTTTCCTGTCCCATCCTCTTGTAAAGAATCTCTCCCTGATAGTTCTGGCAATTCCAAGGTGCTGGAATTTACCCCGGTCCCTGAGTGCTCCGTGCCCATGATTTTGGGCACCTTGGAGGGCATTCCTTGAACTCTGCTGGGAATCCAGGGGCTCCTCTCCTCCCTTGGTGTTTGGGAGCTGATCCCAGCAGGAAGGAGGGGGCAATTCCTGTCCCTCCGGAGCACACCCCATCCCCAGGGGGATTTCCCTGACTCCAGCAATGTTTTTATCTCCAGGAAAAGGGAATTTTGCTGTTTTACTGTCCTGGAGCCATGGAGGCGTGTTGCAAGCACCATTTCCTGGCCTCACTCAGGGATGATTCCAAGCCTTGCGTGCCCATCCCGGCGTTCCTGGCAGAGCTGGCTCCGTGTGCTCCCGTGCCAGGGACCCCCCAGAATCTGAGCTGCTCTGGAGTTTGCTGCTCTGAGCTTTCCCTTGCTGCTGGAAAAGGGAAACCAGGCTCTTCCCCCGCATCCCTGGGGCACGTGGAGCCCTTTTTTGGGATGTTCCCAGCAGAGGGACAATGCTGGCTGTGGCTTCAGCCCATGGGGAAGGGGCTGAACACCGAAGAGTTTGGCCCCTGTGCCGAGAGAATCCCGAAATCCCTGTTGATATCCCAGATTTAAATCAGCCTTTCCCAGCCCATTCCAGGGGAGCAGTTCTGGCACTGAGGAAGGCCCCAGATGTGCCCCAGCTGTGGCTCCAGGGGTGCCCAGCTGTGCTGCTGGGCCAGGTTTGGGCTTTCTCAGCTCCTGCAGGTTTTCCCTGGAGGTTGGCATCAGCTCTGTGGGATCAGCTCAGGGAATGCCCGGAGGGCAGGGCAGGGGCGAGCTGGCCTGGGAGCTGCCATAGGGGATGGAATATCCTAAAATATCCTCAAACCTGTGGCTGGCAAGGCTGGAGTATATTTATTCCTATTTCTGTGTTTAGCGTTGTGTCACTTCCTCCCCTTCGGGGTGGCTTTGGGGTCACTTTGCAGGGGAGGGGACATGGGGGGATGGAGCAGGATTGTCACAGCCCTGAGGTGACAAATCCCAGCCCCTGCTCCTGGCCACCACATCCTTCCCCCGGGGCCGTGCCGTGGTTTTTTTATTTATTTGGGATTTATTGTGTCAGGATCCGTCCTCAGCTGGGAGAGGAAGTGGATTTAGCAGCTGCAGGAAAGGACAAATGAGTCGGTGGCGGAGGGGAACTGAAAATAAGGAAATGCCCAGAGAATGACTTTGTTTCATTTGGGAATTACAGTCGCAAAGTTGGGGACAAGAATGGAATCAAACATTTATTACTGCTGCTTTTGCCCTGAAAATTCGGAGTAGATTCATGGTGGGCTGCATCACTTGGGTGTTGTTGGAGCTGGGAATTTACCTGGAATTTGCATTTGGGCTGGAATGATGCCAGCATGGCTTGGATATCTCATTAAACATCGTAGGGAAATTAAGATTATTTCTCTATAGTTGTGTTGCACCAAAAATCAGGAATTTTCTTGCTGCTGTGCCAGGTTTTGGGGGGTAACTGTGGCATAATTCCCTCTTCCTAAGGGTTCCTTTTGGGAATTCCCTGAGCATGAGCTCTGCTCTCCCTGCAGCTGATCCAGGCAGACTTTCCTGGGTCTGGGATGGGATCTCAGCGGGGACAGAGCGGGATTTGTGTGCCAGGGCATCGTGGTGCCCTTGGGAAGCTCCAGGTCTGCAGGCTGAGTCCCCCAGGAGCCAGGGATGGAATTTTTGGGGATCCCCAGGCTCTCCACACCCACAGGATGGGGAG